CACGCGCGAAATTCGCGTTCGTGCTTGAAGGCAGAAAAAGTAAATCATATTGGAATGATAAAGTCTATTCGCGTAATAAACGAGTGAATGGAGCATTCTGGTGACACTATAAATAAACCCAGAGAGCATGTTCATAAAACATACCTCGTGAGCCACAAATATTTAGTGGCGATGGCGAAATTAGAAATATGTAATATTTTCTACTATACGCACAAATTTTTCTTCATTTTTACATTCTCGCACTTACTCACGTAAGAGAAAGTAGTGTAATAGTGCGCCGGAAAACTGCGAATTTTCGACACAAAAACTCTGTATTGCCACGCCCTTGTGACGATAAATTGGATATATAAAGTTGGTAATTCAGAAAAAAATCCTTTAACGCGTGGTGTAGCCAGAATCCATGTTTTCTGCGTCCTTGATCTCGAAAAATCGAGTGATGGAAAACGTCCGTCCGACCGCCCGCGTATCCGTCTGGAACAACGCTTGCGGTTAAACCGCTCAGCCGATTTCCTCCAAAATTGATACTTCCCAATTGATCTGGGGGATGTCGCGGCCCCTTGAATTTGCAACCGATATTTTAATTTTTGGGGGTTCTTTATATACAGTCCCTGTGATATTTTTAAAATTTTCAAAACAGACTCCTCCATTTTTGATTAAATTTTGTTGTTGGAATTGTAGAGGACATTTGAGAGTACGATACAAATCTCATTTTCGGTGTAAACTAATTTTTCGGAAATTGCTTACGTTCATAATTTTTGCGGCGTCTTTCTGCAACTACAATTTTGAAGATAATTTTTGTTCTTATTGAAAGGTGTTCATCGAATGAGTTATTCAAAGGAAGTTCTGTTCAATATTTCGAAAATACGTATATGAGTATTTTTTTTGTGTAATTTTAGATGAAACCCTTTTAAAACCCTTTTAATTTTTTTCTCAGAAACGGCTTCAAATTTTATCTTTTATTTTTATCCTTGTAAGTAGCAAAGAAAATGGTAATGGTGGATATTTTCGGTGCACTCTGCATTTTTGAAAATTGCAAAAAAAGCGGAAGGAATTAAGTTCGGAATTGTAAATTCGAATTTCGTGTGCTTCATTTCAGGCGTTGCCAGTTCGGAAAATAGCAACACAGAGGTTTCAAAAGTCTTCGAATTCATCCCATTAAATGTTCTTCAAATAACTTCCAATCAAATTCATCGAAAGCTCAAATTGAATCTGTGAAAACGAGCTTCAAATTTTGCATTTACAGTAACGTTTAAACATTTTCTTAAAAACGTCTCCAAATTTTTCAATGAAAATTGCCATCTTGGATGAGGTTTCATTCTTTAATATCCTTAAAGTAATAATTCGGTTTTACTATTAGAAAACCGAAAAATTGAGTGTTTTTTTAAATGAACTTCGGGCGGGGACAGCTGGCGAGTCGATGTGGCAAGACCGAAAAGGTAGGCCATACTGAAGGAATTAGAAAACTAAATAGTCCGCGAAAGAGTGTGCCAGTATGTGCCATGTCTTGTGCCAATCTGTAGTACCAATAGTTTTAGAAATGTTAGTAGTTTAGCGCAATATTACGGGCAATGTGTGCAATTTAAAAAAAATTAACAAAAATAAGATTTTCTTGGAAACTGCTCCAAATTATATGTGCATACACTTGGTAGGGAACGTGCGAAATGTACTGCATGAGATTTTGCTCTATTCTTTTGTTTTTTTAAGTTTTTAGCAGTCACTCTCATCGTTAATATTTACATTAGCGGCGATTTGTTCACATTATTAATACATGTGCTTTAAATAATGTTTTATAAAGTTTCTCGAAAATTCAACCATTTTCTGTAAAAACTAGCGCACTTTAAGAAACGCTGAAACACAATTTTCTCAAAACAGCTCCAAATGTTTTCTTTAAACTTTTTCGAACGCATAGTGGTAATTACACTTTTTAATGTGACGTAAAGTTCATTTTGGTTCTTTTTTTTGTTTTTTCAAAAATTACACATGTCTTTTTTTGAAATATTTCTCACGCTTTCATGCTTATTGTACTGACATAAAATTAATTTGCTGAATTATTTTTCTTAAAAAATACAAATGTGTATTCTTTTCTTCTTAAATATCTCTCTCGCCGCTAATATGACATTTCCAGAGAGTTGTATACATTATTGAGTTTGTGAGTGAAAGTTCTATAAATTACTTCAAATGATTTTCGAAAACAAAAGATTCCGATGAAACAGAGATTGAAATTTCGTATTTACACCAGAGCATAAACAATTTTTTGTTAAAGGTGGCGTTGTGTGTAAAGTCCAAGTTTTGCAACGGAAATTTCCATACAAGACGATGGTTTCGTCTTTTTTATAATTTTGAAAGTAATATTGGGAGTTTATCATAAGGAAACTGAAATTTGAGAGATTTTTAAAATAATTTTATATTTTATATATTACTACATTGTGTATTTAGATCAGCGGTAGATGGCAGCCGCCAAGAGGATGGGGACAAGACCGTAAAGCTAGCCCACACCAAGGAAATTATAAAATTTTACTACGAGAAAAGCTGTGCCATTCTGTTGCACTTTCTCATTTACGTACGTGAACATACGGAGTAATATGCATAGTTTGAATTCACATTTTTCCATTAAAAAATAAATGTAACAATTTCTGGATTCAAATGTACAATTAAAAGGTAAGCGTATAAAACGAGGTAAAACTCTCCAAGCATACATATGGATTGATGCAGATAATTCCTTTGTTGGTATAAATATGTTTTGTAGTGACTGTAGAGCAAAACAAACCAGATTAGGTATCTATAGGCGATCAGATAGGGAATCAGAAAAACGGGACGCGTAGCTCATGAAGAAGAACCGACTTTTCGAACATTGCTCATCGGAGAACAAGTGAGCAGCGCGAGCGAAGAGCGACCGGGGAGGTTGATCGCAAACTTTGGTAGTGGCAGGAGGAAGCACAGAAAAGCTCTCGTACCGCAGACACGTTCACATGTGAAAAAAGAAGTAATTGAATGTGTAAGAGAGCGAGAGAGTGATTTCGTGTAAACTGGTATGGTTCTGTTTGTGACGTAAATGATGCCGAGGAATGGATATGATATGCCGAGATAGGTCGATCAAGAATGCTGAGGAACGAAAAGGGGAGGTGGACCATTAGAACTATTTTTTTTAAACGTAAGAAGGCCAAGATTCGAAACAGCAATTATAATACAAGTAAACCATAAAATAGAGACATCATGGTCATGAGTGATTGGGAACGCTAAGGAGCGCATTAAAATATGAATGGTGACATTTGTTGTTTCTTTGTATGGTTTCAATGTATGGTTGTTTTGAGGCATTGTATTTCGTATTCGTGGTTTGGTTCTTTTGATAGCCAGTAGACCAAAAATTATAATTATATCCAGAAAGATAAGTATTGATCGTAGCAAAAACATAATAATTTTCACGATCCTATATTCATGAGAATAAATAATCCCTTACGTAATATTTCGGCGATGAGATTTCGTACGAACGGCTGACGGCCCACAAATCAATAAATAAAATATTTTTCTGCGAACAGAGAGGTAGTACTAAAGGTTACCATTAGTATTATTCACTCTTTATTCCCTCTCCCATATTTTTTTTTAACTTGACCGCTAAAAGCAGTTGCTGAATAGAATTTCATACATTAAGATTAAATCTGAAATAATTTCAAATTATTTTTCCAAATCTTTTCTCCAACATTGAATAGAAAGAAGTTTTATCACCTTCCTTCCCAACAAGAAACAAAACAAAATTAAGCGAAATTCAATTATATTGAGTATTTTTAAATACGATTGCTGTTAATTATTTTCTATGAATTGATTTATTTGGTCCCTTGTTTCACTTAAGTCGTTTGAAACTTGTGGCGCACAACCATAAATGTACGAAAGTCTCAGTTTTTTACATTTCATGAAACTAATTTATAAGTTTTAATCTTTACGTATTGTTAGCTGTGCGCTGCAAGTGGCAAATGGCTCCAGTGAAATAAGGGTCTGAATAAATTAATACAATACAACTCAATCACATTAATCTGATACCAGTTTCGCAGGCATAAAAATCAGGAAATGTACAAATATGATAGCATTTGAAATACATAAATTTGGAAAATCGATATGAGAAAAACAGTTGATGGATTTATTTAAAAGGTATGCATTGTAGTTGAAATAATTATTTACAGTATCTTTTATACATTTTCATAATGAACAAGTAACAACTCATAATTCCCTGGGCCACAAAAAAAAAAAAGAAATATTACAATGAAGCCAAATTTAATTGGGTTATCTTGGTTGTAAGAGATCCTGAAAAGTAAGATACCAGTTTTGCATCTGAGAATGTTGTCAATCTGCGCAGATAGTAAAAATCAGACGTGTGTGCACATGAACATTTTGGAAGGAGTACGTAGGTTAGTGTAATAAAAATATTGCATGCATTGCTTACTCATTTAGAAGATGGAATATGATCACGAGATCCAATTAAAATCCATTGTATTTATGCACATTATTGTTATTTTATTGAACTTCTAATGATTACATTCAGGTCTCTCAGTGTTCAACAAAGTTAAAATTAGTCTAGTCAAATATCAAGTTTTGAGGTCCAAAAATAGTCAGGAAACAATGTAAGCATTCATTAAGAAGAAATAATAATTTCAAAACGAAGTAGCTTTTATAAATGCATTAATCATGATTGATGGGATGGTTCCAAAACGCCTCGACCATCTGTCATCATATCACCTCGTAATTCACTGGCTGTCATGCCACTCGTTTGAATTTGGCGAATTACCAACGATCGCACGTGAACTAAGTATTACTACGTTCGCACTACTAATTACGAACTAATGATTCCGTATTTCATTTTAACATTATTGCATGTTTTTTGGACTAGCAAATCGACCACATAGTATTTCCAAGGATTGCCGCTTAAAACGATATCTTGCCGTACGGAATTCTGTGAGTCACGCAACGGCGCTAGGGGTGCGCACGCAGATTAATGAAGGAAGGCCGCGATGCCGCCGTCACCTTCGGCGTCGCCGTCGCCGTCGCCGGTCCAGCATCTGGAGTCGATCAGCGTGCGCGTTTTCCGGGCCTACTCCGCCGCCCCCGCCCCAGCTCCTCCTCCGCGCCACCGCCGCCACCGCTCATCTGGAACCTGTTGCCGCTGCAGCCAGCGCCAGCACCGCGTGGCCTAGGTCAGTGCAAGGTCACCAGGCTTTCTGCGCCGCGCCGCGCCGCGCCGCGCCCCATATTAGGAGTAGATTACACACGATCCGCGTCGGAGTCCATTCTCGATACGGAGATTTTAAGTGGTGTTTTTTATCTCTTTCTCTTATGGTATGCTGATTCATTGACTGATCAAGTCGGGTGTTTAGCTCGACACGTATCGTTTGGAACATGACAGTTTTTATTGTTGGATGGATGCTCTGAGATCTAATCTTTCTACTTTCTGAATCACGAACTGATTGCTGTTGTTGACCCAACTGACCATCTTCAAGAACATCTATTTTCATTTCATGACCTCATCGATTTTATTCTCGTACCCTTACTTTGAATACATAGCCTTAAGTTTAGAGATCAATGAAAATTCTTATAGAATACAGATTTTTTTTTCAATTTTATTTATTTCCATTCGGAAGTACATAGTTCAGTTACATCACTTTATCATATG